CAGACTGCCTTTGAAACCAGTTTCTCACTTCTGCACATGTTATCTGGGTCTACAGGCCCTTTCTATATTTGGCACTCTGTGGCAAACCCTGCCCTCCTCTCCCAACACCATTCGCTCGGCAGATGTCGGGAGGCTCGGCAGGCAGCCCCGGCGAGCGCGGTTAGGTGGAGCGGCGTGGGAGGATGCGGGGAGCCCACACAGGCAGCCTCGCCTGCACCACGCTGCCGGAGAAACTCCAATGGGACCGGGCTGGGACAGCTGGAGGTAGGCAGGCTCACTTTCCCTGAGCAGGCAGACAAACCGGGCAGGAGGTTATAGCAGCTGTAGGGATGCCAAAGTGGCTGGCACAGGCTAGCAAAAATACTGCCTTCTTGGTAGTAGCCTACCGAAGGGAAGGGCAGAAGAATCAAGTGTGTAACCAGTCGGCAACCATTTGGCATTTGTTATGGTGGGCACAATGAAAGCAAGCTGAAATAGGAATTTACAAAGGAATAGGGGTGGAGAGGCTTAGAGGACTGAGGAACATTACCTGTGAGAAAACATCCCAGGATCAGGAACGTCCGTGGGGAAGTACCCATAGCTATCAACAACTGAAACAGAAAGGAGAAAGCGAGGGAGAGCCAGTTAATGGACTGATAAGGGTATGAGAGGACCCCTCTCCTGCAGTGCCCTAGCACAGCTTCCCAGCACTCTGCATAGTGCCATGGAGAGAAATGGCCCGGGCACCCCAGCTCACACCCGCAGCCCACCGAGCCTCATGGCATCACCTCCCACGAGGTATGTGGGGTCACAGACACATCACTGGCATGGGGAGTGCTGCTAAGGCACCCTAACCCCTTCCTTCTCTCCACTGGCAGTGGAAGGAGCCAAGTCCTGGCGCATCCCCCTTTCCAACAGCCTGCAAGCAGCTCCGATGCCCACGGCAGTTTCTGGGACTGAGCCCACGGAAACACCCCTGCATGGAGGCAGTACCCTCGCTGGCATCGGTGAGGGTGCAATGGCTTTATGCAGTAATTTCAGACCTTTTAGCTGCAAACAGCTTTTATAGGAGAAAAAGCGTATTTGAAAGCTACTTTTAGTAAAAATAGTACAATCTTGAGTGATTTTTTTTTTGCATTGTACATATGTATATATATAGCTTACTGAATACAATGCAATACAATACTATTTATTGCTTATTTAGCAAGAATTCCCTTGATCAAGAGACATGCTATTTAAAACATATGCTGAAATTTTCTAATGGAATAAATCCATGACAGACTGTAGGCCAGCACTGCCGTTTGCAGAGCATCTCTTCTCCCCAACAGCATGGAGAGTCATAGATCACATGCAACAATTTCAGCTTTCAAACACATAATCCTAAGGCATCAGTCTTGAAGAGGCAACAACGGCAATAAGCTTCTACGTAATTTTTGTGCCATCTAACGACATTTCTACTCAAAACCCTCAAGCAGCCTGCTAGATAATTTCCAAAGGAGGAGCTCCTACAGCCTCTGCTCCCATTGAAATCAACGGCCGTTTTGTTGGTGACTTTAATAGTAACTGGATTTGGCCCAAAGCCAATACAGATTTAAAAAAGCCTGTGCGGAAGAGCCCCTAATCTGAAACACAGACCAAGGAGTAAAATAAAGGATGATGTGCCAAGAGAGGGACTACTTTTCAAAGGTTCTAGAGAGTTTCTGTTCACCCTCTGGTATTCAGTTCCTGATGCTGAGATAGGAAAGCACATAGGTGCACACAGTTATTACAACTATGCCAGTGCCGTATGGGACTTAAATGTTTACAATATGCCAAGGGGTGTTTCTGAACTAGTCCTGCTTTCCTCCCACAATGCGTGGAGCAGACAGCATGCCCTTGCAAAGCAAAAGGTATTTGATACTCGAATCAAACCTAAAGGTCTCAGAAGCAGGATTGAAAGACATACAAACTACCAGCCTCAAAAAGCGGTACAAACAACTTTGGAAATTCGGCTGACAACATTCCAGCAGAGTCAAGGCATTTTGCCTGATTCTTCAATTAGCAATAATTGCCATGTGTTTATGTATCTGTCTCCCATAGATAACAGACTCTCGGATATCAAAGAAGTCCCTCTGTTTCAGCCTCCTTACTCATTTTTATCACATTTGTATCCTGTAATTTTTTCTGATAAAGTAACCTACTGTAAATCTTCAGAGACTTATCGTGGTCTGCTTTATTGATCTGACTCCTAGCCTCCCAAGATCCACAAGACAATGTTACCCCACTGTCTGCCAAGTTTCCTTCTGCCTTTTCTCTCTGAAAAGGCAGATCTCTCCCCCTTTTGTGTTGTTTTTCCAGAGTATTCAGTGCAAGTGATGCAGCGTAGAAGGAGAAAAAAAATGAAGCTAGCTCATCTCTTGTACACCAGTCTGCAGAAGCTCTGCTGAAGTAGACTTGCACTGTTGCAGAGCTGTGTAAGTGAGGGTGGCAGGACCATGACTATACTGGTGTAAGCAGAGGTGATGGCATTTCCAAAGCGCTGCTTTGAATTTGTTGTCTTGGTTGGGCTGCCATAGAAATTGGTAAGAGCTGAGTGCCTTGACCTACAGCTGCAGTTTAAAAACACAAGGACTTAACTAAATTTGCATTTTCCATCTGGCTATTCTTTCACAACCAGGAGCTTTGATCTTTCCTCAATGACCTGTTAAACTCATCAAGACCCAGAGCAACAGTTCCTCACTGTGAAAGACAGAATAATGTACTAAGAATTCACCATCGTCCGTATTCTAAATCTATCTGAACTGGATTTAGTTACATCATGCATCTGACTTAAGTGTGCTGGAGTCCCATCACCAGCATATCCTCGCACATCAGTACTGGAGGCAAGGTTTAACACAGATACAATTTCACACTTCTGCGCAAGAGAGAGTTTACTCGTTCCCACAACACCAAGCAGGTACACTTAGCATGTTTCTTGTTTATTATGATCACCTAATTTTTTGTATGCGTTTATTTGGCTTTTTTACATTCCTTATGGCAGAGCGGCCCTCTTTGTCCTGAACCACCCAAATCTCAGACCTGAATAAACACATCAGGTTCAGTTCCTAACACTGCTCCATCAAACCATAAAATGATGTCACCTCACTGAAGCCAGTAGATTTATGCAAGCTGAAGTCCAGCGGTGACAGCACACATACAATGTAAGTTTGAGCCAACCTTAATTCCTTGCATACCTTAAATATTGCTAGCTAAAATAGAAACATGGGCATGTATAGTGTAAGCTAGATGATGCCATGAAGGGTTTGCCAAGCTCTCTGCAGGGGAGGCTGATTGCCCAGGGTAAAACAGTCATTGCATCTACTTTAACAACTGGATCTTGAAAGGATCTGACTGAAATCCTGGTATCTCACTTGTGTGCTTTAGTGATAAAAAAAATCAAGAAAATAACATCTGAAGAACTGTTATCAGCGAGGAGTCAGTCTTCCAAACACTCACTGCCAAGCGCTGGCTTCCTACCAAGAAGGGTTTCATTGACTGCACCGCAAAAGACAAAGTAAAATCAATATCCAGAAAGCCAATTAAAATACATGTTTAGAAAACAATGATATTCCTAGGTGATTGCTCTACCCGACGTAGAGAGAAAGCACGGTGGAGGACCAAGAAGAGCCAACGGTCATACTGCTGTAAATCAAACAAAGACCTCTTTCAAGGCAGAAAACTAGCCCATCTACCAGAAGACTGGAGGCTACCAGACTGCTTTCCTGCCAGCTACCCACTCACTGCAGTTCACCCTCTTGGCCACAGGATGGCAATGTTGATCCACATTCATGAGCCACATTTCTTGCGCAGGAGGCAACGCTGGACCTCGCTGTAGCAGATGGCATCTAAACTGAGTGGACCAACTTAAAATTCAAATTTCTTGTATTTTAATTTCATGCGAGTTCACCGATTTAAAAAAAAAAAAAGAAAATAACAAAACCATACTGATCCCTATTGCCATGTATTTACATACATGATAGGACAGTAGTTGGATTGCAAATCTTGACACGTAGTGATGTGATTATCCTTGTTATGAGAGGGCTGGATAATTTCAGTGGTGATTTTGTCAGAGTGGCAGTCTGTCCTTCTGGGAAGACTGATCTTTTCCAGGAAGAGCTAAGGCCAGCCCAAGAACAGAGGGAACATTTCCTCCTTGTGGTATATGTCACTAGCTGAATGCATATGTTCAGACAGGACCTCCTGAAACGTTTCTTGGTTCTCAGTTCCGAAACTGCAAACTCAATTCTCTGCAAGAGCAGAGCTGCCCTTCAGCACTAACAGGCGGATCTGCAGGTTTCACTGGGGAAAGGCTCAAACAACAAAATAAATTGTCCTCAATGAAAAAGACTGGCATAAATATTCTCCTAAAATGCGGCTTGTTCCACATCCCTTTACAAGTATTTGCATCCAGCACAGCCTGTATGCAAGAACAACTCTGCACCAAGACTAGCCCAGTGCTGGGCTCCTGCACTTTGGGCTCAGCAGGACGCATGGCGATGGCTGCTACCCGATGAGCCTTGTAGTCAGCCCCAATTCTTCAGCCTAACCCTCAAGGACAGAACTCCATCAGTCCAGGAACTAAAGATGGGGGTAAATTTGCAAAGTCTAAATTTCCCCACTCAGTCCAAGAGAATTTTCCAGGCTATCTCAGCAAACAGACAAAAAGACTGGCACTTTCAAGGAATACATCACACTTAGGTTCTCTGGATCAAATCAAAGAACACCTCAGATCCCAACTCAAGTGTTCAGAAGCATTGCATGGAAAAACCAATCCGTCTCTGTTGACCACAAGAGCTAGGAAGACTAGCTGTTGCAAACTTTTCCCTCGGGTGCCCATTGCTTTATTGGCTTGAAAGAGATGAGTCAAGCAGGAGAGCAAGGCAAGAGGGAGAGAAAGGATTGTTTGCTTACTTGCTTGCTTTTTAAAAATTATCTACAATTCTTGCCACCACCAGGAAAAATAACCTCTCAGAAGCCATTCCCTGGTCTTTAAAACAAGCAAAGCAAACATCTTCTAATAAAATTTTCAGAGTTCACACGCAGAAGTAGTGCCATTGTGGCCATGATGATCTAAGGATGCAATCGAGGTGAGGATTGTATAAGGTTACACATTTCACCCTCATTTTCAGAACAACTGGTATAGATGGAAATAACCAGCAAGGTCTGGAGTACGCAAGACTTTTTCTGTCTATATACATTGTACTGGAATCCTAGCTCGATACAGCGGAGAGGTATTTTATTAAAATATTTATTACTTCCTGCTTTCTTGAAACCTAATACCTATATATTACTCTCACAGTCGCATGAGGATTTCCCATGCCTCAAGGAGCGAATAACAGGGAAGATGGCCCCAGTGCCCGATGGCAGCCGGACTGGCACACCTCCTGCCCCTTGGTGCCTGGAGAGGAGTACCAGAACAAGGGGTCTCATTTTAAAGCAGCAGGAGAACGCCTGCAGGCTTGGAGAGCTGGTTTGCTTGTGGAGTCCTAAATCCCAGTGCTTTGTGCGGCCTCATTTTTCTTCAAACTTTTTTTTTTCCCTCCCAAGCTTTGAGGTTGGCTAAACTGCTGTTTAGTTGAGGGCCGTTCT